GACGTTATTCCTTCTGAGGGTTTTTTAAGTACTTTTTCCCAAGATAAGTTTTGGAAATTAAAGGTTTGGGGCTTTTGTTTTGCACAGATACACACTGAATTTTCCTTTAACAAAGCAACTTGTACTGAATGCTCTGCTTCTGCAATTGCTGAACCCAGTTTTACTCAGTTAGCAAGCTCTTGAGTTTTTTAATCGCTTCACGTGGTTCTTCCGCTGCTGATTTTTAGCTACATCTGAATGAGCGGTACAGCTGGGGGATCTTGGCTTCATGCAGCAGCTCTTCCCGGGTTGAAGCCCCGGTCTGACAGTGCTGGGTAAAGGCAGTCGTGCTCCCTGCACTTGCTCACACCCTCGCCTCGATGGAGAGTGACTGCTTTGTGCCGAGGTGGCGGCGGGCCCCGCTGCCCAGCCTGTGTCAGGCAGCACCAACAGCTCCTGCTTGGCTTCCTGCACATCCAAAACGCCCACGTTTGCCGCTGCCGACTGAAGAGCTGCTGCGTAAACCCAAAACCCCACCAGCGCAGCTTCTCCTGCCTGCTTTTGGCCCCGCGCTGTCAGTGTGGGGAAGATGCCAGACGCGTTCGCTGTTCGCTCGCTCTAACCTGCATCCCCCGTGTGAAATGCCAGACTCTGCTAACAGCCCATTCTCTGAACCTGCCAGTGACCTGCCCGCCCCGCGGAACGCAGCATCGCTCCTAGCGCAGTGTGGAGAAGACCGAAGAGGAGGTCTCGGCGAGCGGGGTTGTCTGATGCGGGTTTGCAGCTAGTCTGACGCAAGGAGAGGGGCGTGATGGGGTTGTGGGGAAACCCTGGCAAGGGCAGAGCCCTGCTGGGTAACGAGCCTCACGTGTTTTCTCCTCCTGTGTCTGTCCTCGCGTGCTGTAGTACCAGCAGGACCTAGTGGTGCTGCAGGACAAGCTGCGCATCTCCAACAAGAAGCTGGAGGAGTACGAGACTCGCTTCAAGTGCCAGGAGGAGACGACACAGAAGCTGATGCTGGAGTACCAGGCCAGGCTGGAGGAGAGCGAGGAGCGGCTCCGAAGGCAGCAGGAGGATAAGGAGATCCAAATGAAGGGCATCATCAGCAGGTACGGACGAGCTGGGAGTGCTGGAGGGGGCAGTGAGGCAGGCGGCCTGGCTGACCTTAGAGCTGGGCCCTGCTCAGGAGAATTCTCTGGTGGTGCAGGCAGGTTTCCCGTGGGGGTTTTACAGCGTTTAGTCACTGGGTGCCCTGCTGGGTTACAGCCCCACGGTGGGATTTCAGGCCTTGACTCTTCAGGTTCCTCCATCAGGGTTACCTGGGACAAGGACATTTTCCTGATTACCAAAGGCAAAACTTTAGGAGGGCAGAGCTGGCAGCCCGCCCGCGACAGTTCTCGGAGGATCTGGCAGACTTGCTCTTCTGTTCGTATCAGCAATAGATGTAACGATCAGAATGGTCTTTTCCTGATGTTTAGCTAAAGACCTCATCACCATCCCATTACTCCCAGCTATAAATCCCTTTCTCCCACCCAGTGGGATGTGGTGTTTGCATTTGTCCAGGACGTAGACTGTTCCAGTGCTTCTCCGGAGCCAAGCCAACTCAGTGCTTGTTCCTCCTCTTTGGCCACCAGGTTGATGTCTGTTGAGGAGGAGTTAAAGAAGGACCATGCAGAAATGCAGGCTGCTGTGGATTCCAAGCAGAAGATTATTGATGCACAGGTGAGTCCCCCATACCAAGGACCACAGCACTTCTCAGGGTCGTTCTGCCAACATGCGGCCTCCCTGCAGTTTGTGGAAGGATCATGCCCACAATTCAGTCCGTGTGTGGAGGGATCACTCTTCCTTGGTTCAGTCTCGGGTCTCCGGAGCTTTGCTCAGTGCTTTACGCTCCAGCAGTGCTTGCAGGACCTGAATACAGGGAACACACAGCCTGGCCAGAGCAAAGCCAGCGTGTTCTTTCAGCCTTTGGGCTGTGGCTTGCAGGATGGGGAAGCTCAGTTACTGCTGTAGGTTAAAATGGCAGAGGAGCATCAGATGATGGGCGCAAAACACTATGCTTGGAAAAGAGAATCTGAAAATACGGTGCGCATAATCTTTTAATTTGTCTAGCAGAGATGAGCATCTTCTCAGCAGGTAGGCATTTCCACAGGTTGGGGCTAGGTGATCACATACTCCAGGCTTACTCTTAACAGCCCTTTTAATCACTTGTGAGTCTCTTCTCCTGGATAATTTACCGCATTGCTAGTTAAAAAGGACATGACTTTGTAAAAGGAATCACTGTTTTTCTGTAGAGTACAAAGCTAGTAAATTGTCATGTTCCCTTCTGCACTCCAGCAAAGCAAAGCCGTCACGGGGCGTCCGTAAGGTGCGGGTGGAGCTACACGTGGGCAAGCTACTGCCCTGCTCTGAGCTGGTTCTGCTCCCGCCTGCTCACGGCCCATAGGGATGGAGATAACTTGTTCAGTGTCGCAAAGACCAGGAGTGGCAGAAGCCGGCCGAGATGCGGAAGCTTTTGCTCCCGTCCTTACGATACTGTAATGAGTGAGAATTGCCATCAGAGCCATCCTGGGAGGCCACAAGTCGTTTAAACTGTTAATTTACTCTAACAAAATCAATTAAACACTGACAGAAATAACTGTCTTGGGAGAGCACTGGGTTTTGGAAGAGGAATCTTAGCGTCTCTCTAACAGCTGCAGTTAAAGCAAACAGCGCAATGAATTCCTGTATAACTGAAGAATTAGAGAAACTCTGTTACCTCTGTTTTCTACAGAATGCTACAATGAATTTAGCCCACGTTCCACAGGCAAAGTGCATTTGTGGCCCTGCTAATAGCAGTGGATTTATATAAAATTGCTGCATAGCACTTAAACCCACACGTAAGAATACCGAAGAGAAACGTCCAGGCCCCAGAGGGCTCTGGGTCCCTGTCTCGGGACAAGCCCCGGCGTCGCGGCTGGCCGGGTCTTGGTGCCTTTCCCCTGATTATTCCTCTCTGCCCGTTTGTCCACAGGAGAAACGCATCGCTTCCCTGGATGCTGCCAACGCACGGTTAATGAGTGCCCTTACTCAGCTGAAAGAGAGGTACAGCATGCAGACACGTAATGGGATCTCCCCCACAAACCCAACTAAATTGCAGATTACAGAGAATGGAGAATTCAGAAACAGCAGTAATTGTTAACGCGTGGAGGGCGCTGCCGCAGGAGAGGAGGCCTGGCCAGAGAGACCGTGCAGCAGCAGGTGTGAGCCGCGGCTTCAAAGAACGGCTGCTCTCTCCCCCCCCAGAGAAACCAGCTCCTTACTGCGGACGGCGCGCTTGACTGAGCCTTTGCGGGAGATGCTCATGCCAGCACGTTGAGGGGACGCAGAGATCGAGTGTGAGATGAGTGGCATAAGGAAATCACACATATTCGAGAATCGCTGTCACTGTTGGATTTCAATCAGTGTCTAACGTTTAAACAGAAGTAACCTTTTCCTTCTAAACTGCCCCAAAGGATATGCCTCACCCCTCCCAGCAAGGAATAACGTCCTTGTCGTTGCCGTAAGCGAAACGCAGGGAGCCGGGCAGAGCTGCCCCAGGCGGTGGCCCGGCAGGTGCAGTTAGAGCGTGCGAGGGACGGCAACAAAGCTTGACCCGCTCCTCCTGTGCCCCCCTCCGGAGCACAGACCCTCTCCCAAATCCAACCCCGAGCCCGGCCCAGCCGGCTCTCCTTACGTGGCTTTTGCGAGGCCGCTGGCTTTGTTCCGGCAGGTGCCTCTCCACGGGGCAGTCACGCAGCTCGTTGGCCTTTCGTTAACTCCGCCCGGGTAGGGAGCGCAGGGCAGATGTCAGGTCAGGGTGTGCTCGGTGGCCACAGGGGTGCTGCGTGGGGACCCTCGGTGGCAGGGCGGTGGAGAGGGCCCGGCTGGGGCAGGGTCCCCGAGAAGGCCGGGTTGAGCAGAGCAAGCCCGAGGCTCTGGCACCTGGTTGGATGGCGACTCGATTCCTCTCTGCAGCTTCTGCCCTCTCGCAAGTAACGGGGCAGAGTCTCTGTAAGCGATGACCCCAGGGCACGAGCCCCCTCCCCACCCAGCTACTTCCAGCCACAGAATAAAGTTAATGTTGCCTGAGCTTGGTCCCTGAGCTGTGATTGAGGTACGGGGGCTGCATTTCCTGGTGCCCTTGTGGTAGAGGGGGAGTGAGGGGCTTCGTGCCTGACAGAGGGTTCGTTATGGGGATGTAATGCTCTGTGCGGAGAGTTTTGCTGTTTCTGGGGAGAGAAAACAGACAAAGAAACGAGAAAAAGCCCTGAAGAACCATGAAGATCGGTAATTGTATTTCTTTTCTTTCACAGTATGCATTAGAAAAAAAAAGATCCCATTTTCTGGAATACTGTCCTCTTTAAATTGGGAATGAGCACTGCATGGAAATTAACCGGCTCGAAGAATGTAAAACATGGTCATAAGGGAATAACCAACAAGAACAGCAGCCACCACCGAAAGCCCCCTTGTCAGGAGCACTGTGCAGGCATAAGCCAGGATTAGACTTTCCTAACTAACTGCTGAAACACGCAGATTCGGCACACTCAGACGCGTTGTGCTCAGCGGAGGGGTCACCTCCTTAACGGGGGATTGTGCCGCTGACCTGCCGCCACGGTGTGTTTGTTGGCTTGTGGGTTTTTTTGGTTTTTTTTCTTTTTTTTAAGTTAGTACTTCATGACTCCCACTCTCAGAGCAGGTCACTCGTACCACGAGCCAGAGAGATTTCTCTGAGACACGGATCACAGTGTACAGTGTACAGGACATCTGCCTATTGCTCCCACTAAAGTTTAATACACTGCTCAACGCCTGTCCTAGCTCCTCCTGCCGTGTGTAAATGTACAGTCCGAGGGACTAGGATGTTCCCTGAGCTCTGCACAGCTTAGGTTCCGTCTCCAGCCTCACCCTGCCGAGGCTGCCTGAGCAGGACACTTTGCCAGTAAGCTCTGCATTGCCATAAGGCTTCTTAACAGCATCCTGCCACGTGCAATTGTTTGCAAAATTAAAGATGCTTTGGTTTGTTGGGGGTTATTTTTTTTTAATTCTTTTTTTTTTTTTTTTTGGCTAAACGTTTTTCCGTTCCCTGGAAGCCCTGGGCCAAGCCCAGGAGGAGCAAACGCGTTGCGCTGAGGTCTCCACACACCCCTCCAACGCCTGCAGACCCCAAACGGAGCTCCTCAGAGAAAAGTAATAAGTGTTTATGACAAGTACAGTCACCTTTGAATTGTGGAGACTAGCACAGATGGCTTTGAAGAACCTCAAACAAACTGACACGGTTACAACTGGAGAAAGACCCAGACAGGTTAGGAATACACAGGGTACCGGGAACCGTTGGGTACGTACGCTCCCATCTGCCATGGCCTCAAACACTTTGTAAGAACCCTGCAAAAAAAAAAAAAAAGACTATTTTAAACCGCTGTTGCCCTGAGATGTATGTTTAGAGCTGATTGTTTTCTGAGTTCCAAAATACTCGTGCCGCAAGAGACGGAAGTTTTTCAAGAGAGAAGTAACGTAGAGGAATGGAAACGCTAAGAGGGCACGAGGGCGGGCGGCCCGCCGGCAGCGCGTTTCCATTCAGACGCGGAAGTAATTTTGGGATGCAGTCAGTGCTCTCCGTAAGAGCTGGAAAAAAAAAAAAGGAACACCCACAAAACACTTGTTTAGTACTGAAGCTAAGCACAGTACAGCTTAATCTCCGCAACCACAAGCCAAGGCACTGCTCTCTCCCTCCCCGCCCCGATCTGTCAGAAACTCCTGGTTAACCTCAAAATTGCAGATTGCTGAACAC